TAGCAAGTACACCTGCGTTACATACTTCTCTACTGTCTGATTGGAAATGTGATCTAGATGTACAATAATCTTGATTGTATTCCACACCGTCTAAATTAAAATGAACTAAGCTCCACGCGACTTCCATCTCAGCTTGCTCCATTTGTGTGCAATAACTCTGTATCATAAATAAATGATATCATTTTATTTATATTTAGTTTTAATTTATAATAAACAATATTATAGTGTAATAAATTATTTTAATAAATCAATTTATGCTTGCTACACAAATTTTTAATTAATATAAATATTAATTTATATATTTACTTTGTAATTATATTGATAACAATCTAGCATATTGTATAATGTGCAACAGTAATAATCAACACCACGGTTATAATATTTGGGCAACTTATAACAAGCACTTTTCATTTTACCAAGGCACATATTAGTCGACTGTAGTTTGAATCCATTTATATTGCTTTTTGCTGGGCTATTAACAAGCATAAGGTTTTCTTGTTTGCTCTTGTTAATTTCCTCCGTACAAACTATACTAAATATAGCAATACAAATTAAACCTTTGAACATGATTTTTATTTGGTAATTATCGATATGGATTATTTTATTTTTAATTATAAGTTTATAATAAAGTAAATAATCTACCAAGTATTATGCTTACAAAAACATCGACCTATTTATATAGTTTTCATAAACTATATGATTAATCATTTATTTACATGAAACATATTTTTTATGGCTAATTTTGAGTTATAGAATATAATAAATACCTGATCAAGTGCTTAGCATTGTATATTATTGCCTAGATACGTTGTTATTATTATTGTAACATTAAATTTAATAAGTTTACAAAAACTCAGGTATGCTATATATCCTTATTTATTTATTATCTATTAATACATTATTTAACATGTAACATTAAGTGCGTGCGGTTTACAATAATTCACTGCCATGGTGCAATGAATTAACTATAGCCATTTAGAAAACATGGTTATCGCAATTGCAATTTAAATAGTATAAAGTTTACCACAAAATAAAAATAGCTGACACAACTAACAACCAATATTAAACTATCAAACATTCTGAATACAATTACCATCTATATTCTATTTAATATTACAGTTTTCTATTTATAGAAATGACAGTCATTTCCCTATTCTTGACCTGAAAAGTTTTAAGGCTATTATTAGAATTTAAAAGTTTTTAATTAATAAAAGTTGTATTTGTTTTTCAATTATTTAACTAATTATTCGATTAAAATTTAGTTGGTCATACATGCGTGAATCCAAACTATTAGTTCTTGGTTTGGGTGGAAAAAATAAGATAACTACTCAATTTGTATATGATACATTTATTAACAATTATGACCTAACCATCGATGACTTTTATCGTAAATCAGTAGAAGTAGACTGAAAGTAGCGCATGCTAGAAATAGCGACACAATGGGCATGGAACAATTTACAGAAATGCGTGATATATATAAATAAATAAATGTGACTGATTCATTTTGATTTAGTTGATAGCTAACCAGACTACTTTTATTGATTGGCAAAACTATCGTAAGAATACGGGTAGTTTGTTTATAATGTTTTTAAATGACCAGATGCATAATTCAGTATAAAGTTATTATGTTAATTTGTTTTTAAAAATATGTATTATTTCATAATTTTTATCGTTGTATGTGTTGCTCTTCAAAACTATTATTCATCTTTAATAAATTATTATTAAATCAGTCACATTGTGCTGTTATTACAGTTTGTCATAAAAATTGTACAGTATATAATGGTATATATATAAACTTATGTATGTTAATTGTAAATGTTGTTAGTGATTTAACTTACGGGACATACAACAGGGTATACTTAAAGTTAAGAACACCGACGACGTGTGTATGATTTTATTGGGTATTAAACGCAAAAGAAAAGTAGGAAGGTAGTTGGGACTGACCAGGTTGCTAAGTTAACTCAATTATTCAATAATTATGCAGTTATCAAGTTGACCAGTAGGGATTATGAGCATATGAACGATGTGTTTTACAAATCGGTCAGACAGCTGGATAAGTAACAGCACGATATAATACAAAACGTCTCCAGAAAACATTTTAGATGGGTTTTATTTTAATTTATTAATTTTGTGTTTACAACATTTATTAAAGAACCATATATATAATATTTATAATTAAATTATAATTTTAAAAGCATAACCGTTAATATTAAGTTTAATAAAAATATAATTTTTTTAATTTATAATAAAACAATTACTATGATACTGTAAGTTAATTTTAATAATTTACACAGATATATTCTTTAAAATATAATAAATCAGCATTGTTGTTAACATAATGGGCGATAATTGAGTAAGCACACTGGTATTGCACACTGATCTACTGTCCGATTCGAAATACGACCTAGCTGTACAATAACTTTTAGAGTAATCAATTCCATTAATTCGATAAGCTATCATGCTCCATATTATATCCAATTGATCTTGATCCGTTTGGGTACATAAACTCTATGTCAGTAAATATAATTTGAGAAATAAAATATAAATTATTTAATATTATATTTGGAAATAAAAACAATCAAATCTCTATTAATTATATTCATATCTTACTAATCAACAAGTTTACATAATTATTTTATTGAACATACCCGGTAGTTATTCTTCAAACAATCAAGCGCATTATATACTGCACAACAATAATAATTATCACCACGGTTAGTTTCAACCATTTTTTCGCAAACTTTGTTAACTTGAACTAAACATGTATCAACCGATTTTACATTTAATACATCTATGCCACTTGTATTCTTAGTATTCAGCATTAGTTTTACTTGGTTATCCTGATCAATTTGCTCCGTACATGTTATGCATAGTATAACAATTATTATAATAATTTTAGTCATTATTATTAAGAGCAATTTTTACAAATACTATGTCTTAATAATTACTTAAAATAATAATATAAAATTATAAAAGTATTAATGTTTGAGATTTATTTATATAGTTTTAATAACAATAAATTTTATTATTAATGATATATTTTAAAAATTACTAAATGGGTATGCAAGACTTTAATTAACATTAAGATAATGTAAATTTTATGATAAATATTATACAATGTGCAATTAAAACTTTTATAGACCAATCTGTGTTTTTATATCATTATTAAAGTATTGTTTTGCTCACAACTTGCGTATTATTGTAATAAAAATGAAAATTAAATAAATACCTGATCATGTGCTTAATTGATTGCATCATGGTGATGAATTAGATTATACCCTAATGCACCTAATGTTGCACATTAAACATTTGATACATTTAAAGTTAATAAAATAAATAGAGATATACCATGTGCTTTAAAATATATATCAAATTTTTAATTTAATTTCTAAATGTAATGAGTTCAAACTTTAGTTTAGCAAGTGGGAAATTAAGAACAATAGGTTTTACAAATTTCGTAGACAGGTGAGTAAGAAAATACCTAATATAATACAAAGGTTATATAGAAAACAATCGAGATGTGCTTTATTTTAATATATTTATTTTATGCTTATAACATTTATTAACAACCTCATTAAATTTAATTTTATTACTATTAGATAATTATAATAAATTACTAGATATCATGCAAGACTTTAATTATCACATATGTAATTAAAATTTTATAAACCTATTTTTTCATTTGAGAAAGTAATATACAGAGGATGTATAGTCGTATTTGCATACGGTGTAAATTCTAATAACTTTTAGATTACTTAACATAGGACGTTGGTTAGTATATCAATTTAACATGTATATATTCTAGTTTTAATTTAGAATTAAAAAAATTACAAATATTACGTAGAAATTTAATTAAAACCCATATTTTATAATAACTGCCAAAATATTTTTTCCGACCAATGTTAAAGTATGCTAATATACTTGAGCATTTATTTATTAATTTTACACAAATAATCTAGGAATAGTTAATGATAATTTTACATAACTAAGTTATATTGTGTTTAAAGATAAATTTTTATTGTTATAACAATTTTATATAGATTTATAAATAATTACAAATAATTGCATTTAAAATGAAAAAATGACAATATTTTCTCATTTTCTTGAACTCGTTGGTATTACTTATTTATATGATTTAAAAATAATAATCGACTTTTACGTAACTTGCTATTACTTATTTAACTAGAATTATAATTAAATTATTTTAATTTAATTGAATAATATGAAAAATATCCTTTTTTAAAGATGCAATACTTTAACATTGCTCGGAAAATATATTTTGGCAGTCATTATAAAATATGGGTTTTAATTAAATTTCTACGTAATTTTTGTAAACTTTTAATTTATAAATTAAAACTAGAATAAATACATGTTAATTTGATATAATAACAAATGACCTGTGTTAAGTAATCTAAAAGTTATTACAATTTACACCGTATGCAAATACGACTATACATGCTCTGTATATATATATATATATATATTAAATTATAAACATACGTTAATACGTTGTTTATAATGTATTAATAACTGGTTTAAATAAATTAAATTCATTATAATTGATTTTTATTAAATTTTTATATAAGTTACCTGTATACCTGTATATATTGAAATATCATAATTATTTAAACAAAAATATAAAAACAATGTTTGCACCTAAAGTTCCTTTGGTAATAACTCATCATTAATAAATAATTAAGTTGTAAATTGTAATTATGGTGCACAATAACAAATTCATAATAAAAAAAATAACATGATAAAATTTTAATTTAATTAAAACTTTATAGTCACAAGATTGATTGTATTATTAAAATACAATTGTATTTAACTTTATTGCATTTACTTTAAATATAATATACTCTAAATAATCGTTTATTATAAATTTAAATTTAAAAAGTAATTATTTAACAATTAAATAAAATTAACAATATAGAATTTTGTTTTAAAAAACAACTAACTTATTAAAATAATATTAATTTATTTACTCAAAACAATCATTACAATTCACTTCTATCGGGAGTCACGTGACTATCGGACACATGTTTATAGTCCAACCAATTAACCCAAGTATTGTCATAAAGTGTGGGATCACTGGCCACGGGGTCGAGAGGTACAAGACTTAGCGGTGAAACAGCCGTACGGTTAAACTCACGCAATCTATCCCACAGTATGGCCACAAACTCGGGCTCAATCTGGCCAATCAGGTCGCGCTGTTCGCACGGGTCGTCCCTAATGTTGAACAAACACAACTCGTTGCGACAGTTGGCCAGTGGGGTATCGGTGTTGGGTTGGGTCGGGCACCGGACCGTCGACCCCCTCAACACGTTATAATCGGGTTTGCGTGACATTTGGGATAATATACGATAGGTTTTGCAATTGTGGCGATCAGTTGACTGAAGCGCAGGGAAGGTCTGGGCGTTGTTTACCCCGATGTGACGATCTGTATAGGTTAAATTAAAATGTTTTTGGCGTAATAATGTTGGTTCAAAGTTCTGCACGAGTTTCCAGTCGTACCACCGAATGGCCGACTGATTCCACACCGGATCCACGTTGTGATGGATTTCCCACCGCACGGGTCGCCCATTGGTTGATAGGGTAGACCATTGAGACATACCTTAATAAATAATAACAATAACAAAAGTGATAATAAGATTAAATAATAATAAATAGTAAGTTATATGTTGTATGTAATGATTTGTTAAACCATGTTTCTATTATGTAAACTGTAGGTTATTTAACGTACTATAATGTTAGTAAATGTAATTAATTTAACTTGGTAAGTTAATAGTTATTAACAAGTTAAAAGTTAATAAAACTATATAAAATAATCTGCTTATCTTAACAATGTTTTAACTAATTTAATGTATTAATTTCAAAACAAATACCATATAGATGTTTCTGGTCCTGAATGCCGGTGCCGTCGATAGCATCTAATATAGTGGGCAACAGATCTGTGACGTGAATCAAAACGTCCGAAACGTAACCACTTTTGTTCAATAGTGGACTCCATAGGAGTGCCGGCACTCGTATGCCTTAAATTACAATTAAATTACATTTATTAAAAATTTAATTAAATTATATAGTACA